TCTGCCTCCTGGCTTCAAGCAATTCTCCTGCCTCAGCCTCCTTAGTAGCTGGGACTACAGGCACCTGGCACCACGCCCAGCTCATTTTTGTATTTTTAGTAGACATGGGGTTTCACCATGTTGGCCAGGCTGGGTCTCAAACTCCTGACCTCAAATGATCCGCCCACCTCAGCCTCCCAAAGTGCCGGGATGACAGACGTGAGCCACCGCACTCGGCCAGTGGGGTTGCTTTAGGTCCCGGCTCACACCGCACCCTGCCAATGAGGACATTTTAGGACTCAACTCACTTCCCAGAGTTCCCACACCACCCACCAGGCCAGATCTTCAGGCCTGAGCCGTGGTTATCAGCATCACAGGCTCCAGAGAGGCCAGCAAGGCTTTGCTTCCTGGAGCCCAGGGGTTGGCACGTTCTAGCTCAGAGGCTGCAGACAATGGACAGTAAGTCAATGCCAAGTATCTTCGGGCTCAGGAAGGTGGGACTGGGTGTTCCTGAGTGTTCTGTGCCAAGCCACGATCCACATCCCATCCTGGAGGCCGAAGGTGGTAGAGCAAAGCGACCCCCCTAGAGCCCCACAGAACCTGCTGCTCTGGGTCCTAAAGGCTCCCCTTGAATAAATGCAAACCTACTAATTGCAAAGGTGGTTATTATTATCAGCTCCAAGGGACAGAAACTTGTTTTAAACTGGCTTCATCTCCCTGTGGAGGAGGAGTTCAGGCACAGCTGGATCCAGCGACCTCCAGTGTCACTGAGAATTGTTGCTGTCCCTTTTGGCTCTGTGGCCCACGGGGCTGGCCTCTCCCTAGCCATCAGAAAGAGCCACTTGCAACTTCAGGCTCACACCCTTCCAGCCCCAGCAGGAAGCAGGTGTCCCTGTCCCTCTCCCAGCAAAATTCCAAGGCCGTTGGCCAGGCATGGTGGCTCACACCTGTAATCCCAGCACTTTGGGAGACTGAGGCAGGCAGATCATGAGATTAGGAGTTCGAGACCAGCCTGGCCAATACGGTGAAACCCCATCTCTACTAAAAATACAAAAATTAGCCAGACATGGTGGCGTACACCTATAGTCCCAGCTACTCGGAAGGCTAAGGCAGAAGAATAGATTGAACCTGGGAGGCGGAGGTTGCAGTGAGCTGAGATCACGCCACTGCACTCCAGCCTGGGCAACAGAATGAGACTCCGTCTTGGAAAAAAAAAAAATCCAGACTAAACTTGTCCTGGTGGTTATAATGTTTGTTTTGTTTTTTCCTTTCTTCTATTTTTTTTTTTTTTTTGAGATGGAGTATCGCTCTGTAACACAGGCTGGAGGCAGTGGCCGGATCTCAAGGTTCACTGCAAGCTCGCCTCCTGGTTCAGCAATTCTCATCCGCCTCAGCCCTCCTGATAGCTGGGACACAGGCCATAGTTGCCACACGCCCGGTTAATTTTTGTATTCTTAGTAGACACTGGGTTTCACCATGTTGGCCAGGGTGGTCTCAACTCCTGATCTCAATGTATTTCGTCTCCGCCTCAGCTCCCTAAGGTGCTGGGATTACAAATAGGGCGTGAGCAACCGGCAACACCGGCCTGGTTTTCTGATGTGTCCAGAGAAGCCTCACTCACTGGGCTCGGGCGTAAGACCGCGGTGGTCCACTACTGGGGTCCCTTGTCGCTGGATGATTGGAGATGATTCCACCAGAGAAAAAAATACGGTTGCTGGGGAAGCGAAGGTGGGGGACCAGCACCATGGCCGGCCCTCGTCGGCATGGGCGGTACACGTGGGTCCTGAAGAGCTTGTGAACCTGCGTGCTGCGACCCTAGTCCTGAACTCTGCAAGGGCTGGTGTGACTCCAGAAAGTCCACTTTCCACCTCCAACCTCATTTGGCCGCCTATAAATGGGCGGTGGCCTGCCTCACAGCCCTACCCGCAAGCAGCAAAGGGATCACGCATGGTCCTGTCCTGGGCGCCGCACGCCTATTAACTAGGTGACATTAGACAGGAATGCCACGGGCCATGGCATGCTGGTGGCCCCTACTGGTGCGGCCCGGTAGCTTGTCCACACAAATCCCACCTGGACTTGTAGCACTGGGGTCTGTGCCATTTTACAGATAGAAAAAAGGGCATAGGCCAGGGCGGCGGTGACTTATGCCTGTAATCCCAGCAATTTGGGAGGCAACAGGCCGGCTGGATCAACCGTGAGGCCAGGGAGTTCCGAGACCGAGCCCGTGGCCAACAATGGT